AAAATTTTCAATTACTTTTGAGATCTCCCCTGACTTCCATACGGGAAATTTGATGCTGTCATGTTTTGATCATGTGATTTCTATTTTCTCTCCTGCACATGTGTGCCATAATTGTAATACATGTATCAAGTGCTGCAGTCAGGGTTGATTTCTGTTATCTTGCTTACAAATCAGTATGCCAGTATCAGAATATTTAGTTACAAGTCTGATGAAATTTCAGGAATATCGATGTTTTCAAACCGGAGTTAGGAAGATAAAGTCTTCCCAATCAGTTCTTTGTTTGCAGTTCCCGCGTGTTTAACCTAGCATCACAAAACACCATAAAACATCACTGCATGTACTCACATTTATCAGAAAAGTCAATTATACTTTCAAAACGCCTCACATATCGCTTGTCCTCACTCAATGTCTGTGTATATTATGCTAACGAAATAAATCCTTTGCAAATTCAATGCTGAACTTTAATGGATAACAGAAGATGCGCGGGTATGTTAAGGCAGCACATGGATCAGAATTCGGCGAATTAACACTTTTTTATAATTATGTACCACAAATAAATCGGAAAAGTCAAGGATAAAACTTTTGCTTTAATTATGCATACCAAAGACTTCAATGAGACTTATACTACAGGAGGCACTTCACCACAACGTCACCACGTGACGTCTATAATTAGAAAATATGCCTTAATGAAAAAGTGCAAAGTTTAACACTACCCCGGAGATAATTAGTTTTGATTTGTAATAATAGTTATGTAAAAACATCTCTGTACCATGAAAAGTGCTGCTAGAATCGTACTGTCTTATTGTAGAAATAATTATTCAAAAATTTCGGACGAAACCTTCCCAAATTTTTTACATTTTGTTCATAACATTGAAAAAAAAGCATCAATTCCCGTAAACCATACGATTCTAGCAGCACTTTCGAAAAACAAAAGGATAAGAACTTTAGATAGAAACAAAAATTAAGTTTCAAGGTATGCGGCGTAGTGTTGAACTTTTGCATCTTTTTTGTTACGAACGACAGAGGAAAGGCTGATCGGCAAGTAAACACCTTCCCTGCTATAATTTTACGAAGAAATTGCAAAATTATATTACCATACCTTATTCATACGCTTTATTCCCACAAGAATCACACATGATATTCATTCTAAATGCTTTTAAACTCCGATTTCTTATGTTTGTTTACATCAATTCTCGTTACATTTCACTTTCACTCTGCCACTGCATGATCAACAGTTATGACGTCACGGGTTTGGTATGTAACCCCTGTGGTAACTACAGAGGCCCAGGAACGACAAAATTCCGTTTATATTATGCCTCTGCATATTTTGATTCAATTTTACGACCTCAAATTAATCTTAGATATCGATTTTAAGAAATTATTATCTCTAAACCTCACGTCATGTAGCTTACTATGACGTCATAACATATAGGCAAGAAGAATATTTGGTTGTAACCTTAACCTACCTGCGTGGAAAATGAATAGCAAAATGCACACGTGTAATTGATGTGGCTAAGCAGTTATATACATTTGCATGAGAGTTATCTTTCCTGGACCATAACTCTATTTGTCTCCATAACGTGGCTTAAGGAGGCTCATTACACCACTTTTTGATGACGTACTACACAAAAAAATAAACCTCCATTGTGTCCGGTTTCCTCTGGGGACAAATTATACAGAAAACTCTAAAATATGACCCTGACCTTTAAAACGCTTTAAAAATAGATGAAAAATGCGATGATCAATCGCATCATCTCGAGTCTTTCCGTCAGAAGTCGGAAATACAACCTCGAAAGTATTAACATCACCGGATGTTAAAAAATTATACATCTTCCTGTTTATTCAAATTTATTGTAGACGGAGATAGAAGTTCCTTCTATGGTATATTTTAAGTAATATCATTACATTGAATAAAGTTGAACTCCATAAAGTCTCAATGCATTTATTTCAAAGATTGTGAAAATGGGGAGTTGTAATGGCGTCATCCTAGTACAATCAAGGTTGTTTTTCCGCTAGTCGGAAAGGCCCGAGAAGTTGCGATTGATGCGGTGTTATAAACAGTGAAAACGAAGTAAAGGACTCATTATGCATAAACCATGAAGAATTGCTTTTAAGGTTCATTGATACTCTGATAAGAGAGATAACTCTACAGATAAGAAAGATAACTTTCTGCAGACATTTTGTCATGAAATTCAGTAATCTGTCATGCCAGAGTTTACAGATCTCTACCATAAGGACCATTTTATTGTTAACTCAAGCAAACCTAACCCAGAGTTCAGAGGTTGATTTCTAGTTCTATTGGTAGTATATCTATAAATTATTTTTAATAGTTTACCTAAAACATTTATACTCAGTTCCTTCAAACGGTGTAAATGGATAAAAAATCTATCTCTAAACGTGTAAGTCTTTTAATTGTACAGAAATAACAGCCACAGAATTGTTTATAAACATTTAATTAATATTTTATTTCATTAAAAAAGAATTTCAAGGGCGATAATGGAACAATAACTCTTGTTCATGGATGCATTTTATTTTACATGCACAGAAAACAATTTGATATTCAGATTTAAAAAGCATCGCTCCAGTATGTTTTCTAAAGGGAATTAGATAGGTATGAGAGTAAATATTATTTTTAGATATACCTCATATTTCTAATTTAATTGTGAGATTAAAAATAATTGATCTTTCTAATGACAACATCAAATTTTCTTCAAATCATGATTTGACATATCATTCATTTCTGAAAAAGTAAGCAACGCTTCATACTTCAAACTATTTTTTATTTGAATTGAATGTTATAGTTGTTGCTGAAAATCAATGTTTGGAATTTAAAAAAAAAGTCGTGAAATGTGGAGCAGAGGGATATTGTCCCTTAAGCAGAAACAAAAGAAAACAACAGTCAAATCTTCGCCAAACAAGTAATGTCAATTTCATAGCGATGCATGCGGTGAGCTTTATCAATTAATGACATGTTTGTATGGAGGGAATTCGAATTAAAATCTACAACCTTGTTGAAATTAAAAAAAAACATTTACTTGCACTACTTACTGTGTTTTTTTATACCCCCGCTCCGAAGGAGAGGGGGGTATACTGTTTTACCCTTGTGTGTCTGTCCGTCCGTCCGTGTGTCTGTGTGTCCGTGTGTCCGTGTGTCCGTGTAGCTGTGTGTCCGTCCGTAACAAATTTTCGTCGCAGTTTTCTCAAAAAGTACTCATCGCAGATGCTTGAAATTTTAACACAATGTTCTCTGAGGCATGCCATACGTTGGGATTCATTTTTGTTCAAACCCGATGTCAACTTCCTGTTTGGCAATTTATAGCTTTGTTCTGAATTTTAGATGTAATGTCAAACGTTCCTTAGTGTTTTGAGTCTTGGGTAATTAGGAAAGATAACTCTTAAAAGTGCACTTTTTATACCAAATATTTTTTAATAGATTTTTCATTTCGTTTAAAAATTCTTTATTCAATTTGACACATGTAATTCATTGAAATGCATTCCTTGTCTCTTCAGAACTCATTTTCTTAATGTTTTATGCATAAATTAAAAAGATAATGATATTAATTGTTTTCTACGAGAAAATTATTTTTTTCTAATAAAATTACTATTAGGTATTATGAGGTATTTTCACTGTGTGTATTTGTCTTAAGAAGATGCCCATCATTTGACACTGAAAGTTATGAAATTCTGTTAATAATAAACTTGAAAGGAAACATTTCACTAAAATTAGACAAAAACTAAAAAACTCTATAAAAAATATTTATGATATCAATTCCCCCATCTGGATATTTGACATCTACATTAAATGTGGTGCTAAAATAAACTGTGGATGTAATGAGCCACCTTAACTCATATTGAGTTAAGTCTGATTATAAATAAATGCAAATTAAAATCGATAAATATTAATCTTTAAAACACAATTAACATTTGTAGTATCGGCATCACTATTTTAAGTTGTATACTAGATAATTTTTGTTTCATTAAAGTAGAAGCTAATGTGTACAAGTTAAAACGCGATAAATATTCTTAAATGAAGATTTATTTTTTTCGTTTTGCTTAAAGTCAGACGACACGTTCCGGAAATATACCCTTTGTATTTCTTAGTATTATATAGAATTATACATATTTCTCATTCTCTTTATACATTGTTTTCAACATATTTTTAAAATTAAGTACACCAAAAATTGTAATATAGGCTATTCAGATGATTAGCCATATTTGATATATCACCCTGTTATATCTTGTCGAAATGCCTGTTTAGGTTCCCTAATTTTTGTGAGGAAACTTCATTTTGTATCTAGCCTCATTGACAATTTCTTGGAGGAAAATTATATATTTTTTATGGACCCGTCGTCTGACCTTAAAATGTTATCTTTCCATGGTATATGTGTTGGGTGAGTTTGGATAGAAAGATATATAGTTTTTCGACAATAGGGTAGATGCTTAACAAATTAAATATTGCAATGTCCGACTTCATTTCTAGGTCTTATTTAAATACGAAATGTCCATAAACCATCATCATAATGAAGTTGTTTTTTTTTCTCGATCCTATCAAGATATTCTTAGCTAATGCAAACGATCATATTTGAAAGTCATGAGAATGAAACAAAAGGAAAATGAAATGAATTACAGATTACCAGCAATTAGCTTTTGAATCAGTGATAAGCTCTTCTGACTTATAATAACGTACATAGATTAGTCTATTCATAGCGATTTCAAAGAAATTATACCCATCTAATACAATAATTCTATGTAGGAAAAATCATGCAGTAGAGGTATAATAAAACTATATAACACATGAAATGAAGATATGTAGCATACGGTTACTCTTTTGATCATTAGTAAAGTACTAGTTATTATTCAAAAACTATAATAATCCAGCTAGTGTGGTAATGAGCTGAACACTAAAGTTAAGCATACCCGGTATATCATACGCTTATGTTCTTTGATATTGGAGGTTCTTTCAATGCATACATTCATAATTATGTTATTTGACTTTTCAGACTATTTTCATTTCTGGTTGCAATCTATACAGACATACTGTGATATTGGAAAAACACACACAAACCAGGAAAGCATGAACTCAGGGGCCAGCTTTTATCCTGTTATTATTGTTGCATCTAACGCGGACAAAGTGGTAAGAGAACATTACAAATTCTTCAAAATTATCAACAAAAGAATGGGTTTATTTACTTACTTAGGTCTGTCGTTCCGTGAAGAACATAGGCAATCAACAACATTCCTCCAAATGTGATTCTGAGCTGCACTATAGCAACATCATGGCATGTCATATCCTGTATATTTAGCTCCGACCCCGAGTCACGCTTCCGGGATTTTCTAGGACGTCCTCTTTTTCTTTTGCCCTGTCGGTTTCAACCTAGGGCTTGGTGTGTGATGCTACAATGTAGATGGTGACTTCCTTAATGTGTGTCCAATCAAGACCCACTTTCTCTGTCTTATTTGTATGTCCATTGATTCCTGTCCTGCTCTTTTTTCACAAGAATGGGTTTGCTGATTCTCAATTATATCATTCTGAGCAATTTCATATTCAATGAATTGTCCGTATAGACAATTATTACGAAAAGATTCAGATAGGTACATGTATGACACATTAAAACGGAATGCTCACTCCTCACTGGCACTGAGTCCCACTCTGTTTTTAGCTCACCTGAGCCGAAGGCTTAAGTGAGCTATTCTGATCAAATTTTGTCCGTCGTCCGTCCGTCTGTCTGTCTGTCCGTCTGTAAACTTTTTACATTTTTGACTTCTTCTCAAGAACCACTGGGCCAATTTTGGCCAAACTTGGGTAAAGGAAAATTTAAATTGTTAAAATGAAGGGCCAAGTCCCATCACAAGGGGAGATAATCAAGATAAGACAAAAATAGGGTGGGGTCATTAAAATATTTTCTTCTCAATAACCACTGAGCCAGAAAAACTGAAACTAATATGGAAGCATTCTGGGGTAGTGTAGATTCTAAATTGTTCAAATCATGACACCCGGGATAAAGGCAGGACAACAATGGGGACTTAAAGTTTTACATAGAAAACATAGGGAAAATCTTTGAAAATATTCTTCTCAAGAACCACTGGGCCAGAAAAGCTAGATTTTTGTGGAAGCATCTTTGGGTAGTGTAAATTCTAAATTGTTCAAATCATAACCCCCAAGGGTAGGCCGGGGCCTCTATGGGGAATCAAAGTTTAACATAGAAATATACAGGAAATATTTTTGAAAATCTTCTTCTCAAGAACCACTGGGCCAGAAAAGCTGAAACTTATGTTGAAGCATTCTGGGGTAGTGTAGGATCAAAATTGTTCAAATCATGACCCCCAGGGGTAGGGCAGGGCCACAATGGCCGACCAAAGTTTTATTTAGAAATATATAGGAAAATTCTTTAAAATTCTTCTCAAGAATAACAAAGCCATAATTGATCATATTTATATGGAAGCTTCCTCAAGTAATGTAGATTCAAGTTTGTTCAAATAATGACCCCCGGGGATAGGGCGGGACTACAATGGCCGATCCAAATTTTACATAGACATATTTAGTAAAAAATTCTTTAAAAAACCTTTTCACAAGAATAGCAAAGCCATGTTTGGTCATGGGACTACTTTTGGATTTAAACTTTTCAATACTAAACCAATTTTACTTTTTTTCTAGCCACAGTGCTCAGGTGAGTGATGTGGCCCATCGACCTATTGTTAGAGATCTATGTTTGCCATGCTAACAATTAAATCATACTCTAAGGACTTTAAAGCACTATAAAAATAACAGAAACGTAGCTGTATACATTAAATGTCTAACACCAGACAAATTTATAATCTATTTGTATATTTTGAATCCATTGTCATCCTTATTAGACATCGGCAAATCATGCTATAATTTTATTGTTTTGAGATGATAATCACGTTGTTGAAATAATACCCTTAACACAAATTTTCCATAAGTGAGAGTGAATTACAGACAAACTTACGAAAGTCTCATCTTTGATAACTCCTCCCACTTTTCATATATGAACCAATGAAACAAGTTTAAAAACCGTATTAAAGTTAGGAAAAAGCTTAATGCCATTAATTTATAACACAAGAAACAATTTGAGTAAGCATAATGAATTGAAAGAAACACCAGTCTAAGATCTGACCATAAATCTGATGACAATTATGGTCTAATAGCATCAATATCGTGGGATGGAGAGAGAGAGATGTCAAGTTTAAGAAACAGGTGCAACACTGTTCTTTCAAAGGATAAAAAAATTCATTTATAAATTTCCAGCACATCAATTTAAATACTTTAACAATGCCTAAAACATCAGTACATTTAAAGGTGCATGGGCACAGATTTGAAGTCTTCTGCTTAATTTCTGCTTAATATCAAGACATATATATTTTAAATGCGTTTCACACAAAAATATATTAAAAATTTTACGTTATCTTCAAGTTATTGAAAATATAAATTTTTGGGTGGGTTTCATTGACACATCCTTGCACTCCTAAAAATTTTACTTTAATTCTTAATACTTAGTAAAAGTAGTAATCTTGTTGTGTTTTGATGAAAAATATTTAGATCTTAATTCAGAAAAAAAATATCTATATTCAGAGTAAAAATATTAGAAAGCAAAACCCCTTCACAAGTATCGTCATTTCGAGCTAAGTGTTTTGTACAGAGTTTATCAAATTGGTCAAACCCTTGATACGTACACAGTTTTTATGAACAGGGCACGAGCTCTGTTATTGTTGATGTTTAACCGGGTGCGTTCAATTGTTAAAGTCGGCTTACCACAATTGCACGGACTGACAGAATACTGTTATGTTTTTCTTTCGAGCATTTCTCCTCTGAATTTTCTGGATTATAGTTTCAATATTTTTTTTATTTATACACAAGATTAAGAATAAAATTAAAATTTGTGAAAGTACAAGGATGTGTCAATCAAACTCGTCTAAAAATTTGAAGTTGTAATAACTTTTGGACGAAATAAGATTTTTTATATATTTTTGTGTGAAATGCTATTAAAATATATAAGTCGTAATATTGAACAGAAAATATTAACTTCACTTTTGTGTCCATGTGCCTTTAAGGAACAAACAAATTGTTTTATCATCAGAATATGAAATATATATACGTATGTACATAACAATCAGGCAGGATTCCAAGAAGATCGCTAGAGACTCATACTGGCATTTTTGGAATAGTTGGGCAACATACAATAAATGTTTTATATTTGGCATTACGATATTTGGAAGAAATTCATTTTCAGCAAGTTAGCGTAGGATTGATTTTGCGTTATTTGAATATGGTAGATGAAATGGTATAATATACAAGACAATTAGCGATGTTTTTGATTAAGTGGATTCAGTTTTCCGCCAAATCGCTTCTTAGAATACGTTGCCAAATGTAGTTTCTTCACTGAACGCAGCACAGTTAAGGTCTAAAAAAGGGGACGGAGACTAATTTGTACGGTAAAAAATATATCTATGATATCTTACAAAACCAGCAATTCATAAAAAAGGAAAACCTCAAAATGAGTTTATTTGTTAATTTAAATCTTAGGAAACTATTAAATTACGTCAAATTTTTCTACAGCACGCTATTTTGTTGTTAGTTAAAATCCCACATGTTATGAACAAGTCACTGATTACAATGCACTTGTCGATGTGATGTCGTTTCGTAAATCGACGCAGTTAGTATGCAGTTAGAGGCAAACAAGTAATATTTTCTCAACGAAAAATGTATTTTATAATTTAAAAAAAAAATTATTTAAAGACATATTATAGGCCATTATCTTGGATTCAATGTTTTTTTCACGATTTTGAAAAACGATTTTCCGTATATCTCTTATTTAATTGATACTGTCATTTACTTATATGCAAAATCATCGGGAGATGGGGGGTTAATGTGAGGGTCTAAATAAATCTGTCTGATGCAAGGGCATACAGTCTATTTAACAGATCATAGTAAGCTTTTACAAATCAACTCTAGAGGTATTCATGTATTTGAAAATGCTGCGATCCTGATGAAATCCTGATGAAATCTTGAAAATAATTTAATGATATCAATCTCCTATGCATTTTACCAGCAAAAAATACAGTGTTCGGTCATTCAGATATTATTCTAACAAAAAAATGCAGAATCTACATGTAGAAAGGATCGCAGCACTTTTCAAAACCTACATTGCGTGTTTGAAATATTTATAAACTAAACTTAGAATTTTTTACTTGGTTTTGCCCTTGCACTCGTGAAATTTAAAGATGACCTCAATACTGCACGTAAATGCAGTGGCGGATCTAGAACTTTTGAAAAAAGGAGAGGCGACCAGTTTGAGGTCAGGATAGAGGCCCACAGCCACACCAAAACCATTGATATATAAGATTTGAGTATCTTTTAGGACCCCCCCCCCTTTAAATCTGTCATTGAAATGTGCTAAAATCACGTGACTACCGCATCATGTAAAAAGTCTAAATGTTAAATATAATCATCCTCAATATGTAATTATCAACCATAATTACAAATATCTGATTTGAATTATGTCCTACAAATAATCGCCATCCTGATTATGAATACATTTTCATTCACAGAAATTTGTTGATAATTCCATTGCGAACCTTAACTATACTGTGTAATTTCATCTCTCAGTTAATTTTGTTTCATAATTTTATTTATCGTTAGAGGGTTGTTTTATAATCAGGTAACCGTTAAGGCCATGGAGCCTCGTATATTTTAATATTTATGGTACTTTCCTTTTTATTCTATAACTATTTTAATTATTTTTTTTTTGAATGCTTACATATTGAAGACACAATCTTAAATTGCTTTTTAAACAGAAAGAGGATATGCCAATAACGTTTTACGAAGAACTGGAGAACTGCTTATCCGATGAACAATCTTTGAAACACCTTATATCTCCAAACAGGTATTTCATTGTCGAATGTCCACCAAATGAATTGTCACGAAAGCAACAGGACGCCATTGAATGCCTCAAAAAATGTATAGTAGAAACTGTAGAAAAGATGCCACAGTGGGGGGAGGGTATTCCCCTGAAATGGGCAAATCTTGAGAAAGTCTTGATTGAGATGAAGAAAAATGGAAGAAAGGTTATTTCAGTACAACAAATAAAAGACTTAAAAAACGTGGATTTACCTAGCGATAAAGATCTTGATGATGGCCTTCGGTTCCTACATGAAATAGGTCAAATCGTTTATTTTGCTGACGAGAAAATGAATGAAACGATAATTGTTAACGTACAGTGGTTTGTCGATGCCTTCAAATACATCATAACTGATGAAAAACATCTAGCTAGAATTGCGAGCACGAATAAACGGATTAACACTGGAAGAATAACTGAATCTGAACTGAGGGAAATATGGGAATATACTAGCGAGAGCTCTTATATTCGCCATAAAGATGTTATTTTACCATACATGGACAAACTGGGTTTAATGACAGAAATTCAGGATGATCCAAGCGGTGAAACCTATTACATTCCGAGCATGAACAGAACTGAACTTACTGATGACTGTAAAGCAGCAATCAACAAAGGTCAGAAAACATCGATTATGGTGTTCCATTTTAAAAAATACTTGCCTCACTTTTTCTTCTTTAGGCTGGTAGTAAACTGCTTTAGGAAATGGATGGCACTTGATATGGCGTTCTTTTGTAAGAATGCAGCATTTTACGTAGTAGAAGATGCTAGCCATTATATTGCAATTGCTGTTAACAAAACGTCAATCCAGTTACAGGTTTTTACTACAGATAAAGATATGAATCTGCAGTCCGAATACGTCATAGAGATAAGAGATACAGTGGAAAGTCTAATCAACGAAATAACGCAAACTTTTCACAGACACATTGAATATGAGAGGGGGTTTTCTTGTACAGATATTAACATAACAGACGAGGATGACGAGTACTTTTTGAGGGAAAGTCAAATTGTAGAAATGAAAACAATTACTGGGAAAGAAAAAAGACCGTGTCCTAAACATGTTCTCCGAAATGCGCATGATATTAACAAATATAAAATGATGCAATGCTGGTTCAAATAAATCGTTACTTCCTTTTCACATTCGTAAAAATAAGACAGACAGTGGAAAGTCTGATTACAGAAATAACGTAAACTTTTCACATATGTATTGATTATAATATTTGATTTTTTTGTCTGTCCAAAAAGAACATTACAGACGAAGATCAAGATTTTTTTTATTGGTGACGTTATGAAAGTTAGAAAAATTAAGTTCTGGTAAATAGCAAAGGCCTTGTCCAAAGCACACCATGTATAACATACATCAATTTGACAAACAAGGTATACTGAGATTCTGGTTCTGAAAAGAAATCATTTTCATTTCTTGCAAGAAAAGAGAATCATATTTTATTTGATAAAAATCCTGCTATTGTTCAAAGAACATTTTTTATTATATTTTTGCTGTATATGCTATGTATTTTTTTTTATTGAAAGTTACATTATCAGCTCAGATTTCATTTATGCTCGCTATCTCCATACCCTTCATTTAAGCTTTACTTAAATGCCAGGTGTTAATTTTATTACTCTGAATTTGTAAGGGTATTGCAATATTTGAAATTCAAATAATTTAAATAATTTATAGAGTGTCAATATCATTCACTTTTATTCACGTAACTTAGTCAGGCAGTATTATGAATTCAACAAATGTAATCATTTTCCTTTAACAATGTCATTAAATATGATTAACAGGAAAGTTAGATTATTATTTATCTTTTTTTTTACTATAAAGTTCAAAAATATTGAAATGTATACTTAGTACTAAACATTTTCTTAACAAGATTTTTTAAAGATACATAGCTAAGTGCATTTATATTTCGATTGATTGTGTTTTATTTTTCATGGCCTATTAACGTAGTATAAATGGAACTTACTGTCATTAATATGTGCGTGTTTGTTATGTTATTTTTTTCACTTTGTATATAATTTCTGTAACGTAGAAATGATTGTAGAATTATTTTTTTTTATTTCGATTTCTTGCTAGCGCAAGCGAGCTTCATCAATTAGAGGTTCTAGGACAGAGAATTGAAGCTGATATTTTCTAACTTTTATTGTATAATATCATGACTTCATTATATAATATGATATGTGTTGCTTTTGATATCATTTTTACTCGGAAACATAATGAAATATATACCTTTCTGGAATTTATTTCAACCAAGAATTTCGAACTTTATTCTTAATACTGAAGAAAGGTGATAAAGAGCGAAATCCACGAAGTGCCAAAATCCGCCTAGTCACCAAAGTAAATAAAACTTTCTTACATAATACTAGAGGATTTGTAGGTCATAAAACAATTTATTTTTTGATAACATCTTTTCTAGTTTTCTTTTTACAGTCATTTAAATATCGTATTGGTTTTTTTTCCAAATGAGTATTGTAACGTCATGACGTTGACGTTACATACAGGACAACTTCATCTTGATATTACAAAGTTTATCCAAAAGTAATATTATAATCCCTACAAAATCTTAAATAATCAAAATTTATTAATCTTACTTATTTTGAATTTTGTTTTAAAATTTCATTTGATTTTATTTGATGATTAGATTATCATAAA